GGGCTCAACTGGAGTTCTGTCCTTATTCCCTATTCCTTTTCCCAGGGCTGTTCAGTTCAAACAGGCAAAGGTGGTGCTGGGAGAAGGACTCGGGGCTTTTAATCCCAGGAAATCCCCCCTGGAGGCAGCTCTGCTCAGCCAGAGATGGCTGAAGGTATTTGTGAGGAGCATCTTCTCCGAGATTCCTTCATGATCCTCATTCTCACCCCCACTCGTGGAATCCCAGGATGGTTTGGGTTGGAAGGACCTTAAAGATCATCCCATTCCAACCCCCCCATGGGCAGGGACACCTCCCACTATCCCAGGTTGCTCCAACCTGGCCTTGGACATTTCCAGGGATAACAGAATATCCTGAGTCGGAAGGGACCCTCAAGGATCATCAGTCCAACTCCTGGCCCTGCCCAGGACACCCCAGCAATGCCACCATGTCCCTGAGAGCGTTTTCCAAGGCCTATTTCCCTTTTCCCATCCTTGTTTCCAAGGGCATCCACAGATTCTCTGGCAAACCTGTTCCGGCGCCTCAGCATAAAAACCCCAGAGGTCTGAACGTCAGTCCCAGACACTCAGCATCTTTCAAGCCTCAATGCCTCCCTTCCTTTTATTTTCTGCTGCTCTCCCCTCCCCTTCCCAGGCAGCTCTGAGCACTTTTCCCTCCCACAACAATCCCAGGCTGCTCTTAAGTGCCGGGAATGGGTTTTATAACGGGCTGGAGTTCGTGAAGGGCGAAGCTCCGGCTGTCACGAGGGCTGGGGGGAGAGGCAGGTTCCTTTGAGGACATCTTTGGAACAGCCACTCCAGTCCCCCCCAGCAGGGACTGGAGCTCTGGTACCCTCAGCTCTTGCACGTCGCAGTTCCCTGCAGAGGGAATTCTCGGAATCCTCGGGAATCCTCCGTGGGATCCCGACCTCGCCGCCAGGGAATCGGAGAGCACCGGTAAGTCAGAGCAGTTCCAGCCACGGGACCTTCCCTCTCTCTCTTGCTGCTCTTGGAGATTCCCAGATTTATCAAGAGGCCAAATGCTTGTTAAGGCTCTTTGGGGCCCGGCATTGGTTTTATTGGAATTTAATGGAAGCAAATTGAGGCAGGCCAGGATCCAGCGCTCCGAGAGCTCCGGCAAACTGGGGCGAGACACGTCTCTGCACCCAGAGCCATTCCAGCTGTTCCCATCCTCCCTCCTGTGCCTCCACCCCTCTGGATGGCTATGGAGAGGGTGGAAAGGACACTGAGAACTGCTCTGAGCTGCTCCCAGGAGCACGTGTCCTGCTTGGATCCAGATTCCCACCCCCAGGGCCCTGATCCCTCAGGGAGCACCGACACCTACAAACACCACGACCTGGATGGGGCTTGGAGCAACCTGGGATAGGGGAAGGTGTCCCTGCCCAGGGAAGGGGTGGAACTGGATGGGCTTTAAGGTCCCTTCCAACCCAAACCAGTCTGGGATTCCCTGA